AAAGGCGAAACCTTGTGCAAGTAGATTAATTTATCTCTTGGGGGAAAACACATTAATAACTGAGATAATGTTTTCATATATGTTGGGAGCAAGTGCAGTTTCACTTCTTTATGAGGAAACACATTAAGGGAAAATTATCTCATTCTCATCAAGAAGTCTCCATTTCTGAAAAAGTTTCTGTTTTCTTTATAGGAAAGAATTGTTTTCTTTAATCCAAAATATAGAATTAGAAAGATTATTGAATTCCAATGGAATTAATGCCTGAATTAAAAAGAGCAGTGTTTTTTTCTTACTAAACCCAGAAAGCTAGAGATTTGTTTGTGTTTGTATGTGATAGAGAGAGAAAGAAAACGGAGTTTATGCACTGACTTAAAATGGGCTCAAGCAAAATTAAAGAAAACACATATAAAACATAAAATGATTCATATTTTTGGCTTCCTAAAGAGATGATCTTTTCTGTACAACATAATAAATGACTTGGCTGATTGATAAAGGACTGTATAATTTTCCCAATGAACACCCATAGGTGTCAGGCCATGTGTGAGGTAATGGAATGATGTTTAATTGACTTCAAACCACTGTACATTGAACTGTATGGATTAGATACAAAGCAAACACTGGTGCGTGGCAGGAACTCTTGCACAGACAAGCCAAAAACATGTCCATAGTATCCAACAATACATCAAATGCAGAAGTCTCACTGTTTGCCAGTACAAAGTAAATAAAAGAGTACTACATTTGGAATGGTGTTTTATTGTCCTCTAATGTTTTTGCCTCATGCTTAGGGCCAGCCCCGCCACTAGAAAAAACAAATCCACTCTGTTTCCCTGTGAGGCACTGGAAGATGCCCCCCATCTAAAGTGACCTGGACTGACAGATTCAACTATTAGTTCAGCCCAGATTAGTACAAAGAAAGGGAAAGGACACTATCTTGCCCTTTAGGCAATGCCTTTTGCTAGTCCTACTCATACTGGAAATATTATTATAAATCCAAGTTTTCAGAACACGAAAAGAATTAGACATAAGAAATTAGCTGATGGCCTTTTATTGATTTAGTACACCACCTTTCTCCCAAGAATGGGATGCAACATTTATGTGAGTTATGAAACTATTGGTAAGTTTTGGGGTTTTTTTAGAGTAGAAAGTATGGCATAAATGCAACTGGCCTACTATTTTTCTCCTTTCTGCCACATTTCCATCACATTTTCTCCTTTCCACCATCTTTCGTATCTTCTGGCTTCTTTTCTGCTGCATTTATTTCACCTCTCTCTGCCAGTCCCAAATATAGTCTTGACCTGTCCTGCCTCTAACCACAGTCCAGTTTCCCTTCTACATTTGTCTCCACTAAATACTGCTTCTAAATACTCTATTTTCACCTATTATTTCTCAAAATTGTCCAAATGATCCTTACAATCTGGCTTCTATTACTTTCAGTCCTCATCTCATCCTATTTCAACCTTTCTAATCACATATTCTACTCTCCTTCAAAGCAATATTTTCCCTGTGACTCCTTGGAGTATGGAGTCTGTGGCCCTCCAGATGTTGAGGATGAATTCAAGAATGCCCACCATTGATTATATTAGCTATGGCTGATGGAAGTTGTAGTCCAATATCTTGAGAGCCACACATTCTCTATCCCTCATCCTCACTAATGATACAGTAAGACACCCATAGCTATCAGGGATATGATCCTGGACATACAGTGGAAATTCAAAGCCAAGTTGATAATAGTGAACCCCACTTATATAAGGCACTTCTACTGGAAGCATAGTATAGAATCACATTAGAGGACCTGGAAAATGCCTAGAGATAATTCCTGTATGACATTTCTAGATTTTCCAGCATGATTCTATGGCTAACTTCCAGCAGAAGCATACCATAAAGATATGTTGAGAATCTAGAAAATGCCTACAAAGAACGTATTTTTTTCAAACATGGGTAAGTGAAATCACAGGTATCAGTCCCATGAATACAAGGGCTGCACTGTATTTAGCCCCCACTTCTTTTATTCAGACTTTCTTCTCTCCACTCAATGCTCCAGATCCACTCCCTCCCCAACATTATACATTATTATGTCAAAGATGGGGGTGGAGCAGGGCACAAGAAAATAAAAACCTCATGGAACTGGGCATCTATTTCTCAAGTCTTCTATATTTACTGGCAGGATCACAGTCCATTCATTATAATGCAGAAAGCCTTGGCTTGATCTTTTGATTGTCTCTCACCTTTGCTACCTACATCCAGTACTTTTCACATAATTCTTCCTAAACTGCATTTTAAAAAATAACACTCTTCCTCTTGTGTTTCACTCTCCTGCATTGACAACCGTGGTTTTCTTTCTGCTTTTTTGTTGTCATGCCTTAGCCCAATCATCCCTGTTAAGGGAGGAGTTGGGCAATCACAGTTCCGGGAATGCTATGAAGAGGAGGAGGATTACAGGGAAGACACAACACAAAACTGAGGCTTGTCTCTGACACAAGGCAGATAGAAAAGATGGCTGAAAAATAGGAGGAAAATGACATAGAGATGGAGAGAAAGAGACAGGACAGTCAGCAATGAATAGAGTTTTATGGAGCTCTGAAGTATTAAATAAGTTCAGAGGTTAATGTGTTATCTGAACATTTTTTCAGAAATTGGTTTATTCTTTTTTATGACTGTTTCTCATTGTTCCTTTTAAGCTTGATAGTGATTCTGGTCACAACTACCAGAGAACAGAACCCACAGAAACAGAACCTGCATTGACTATTCTACATGAGGATGATCTTGGACTGAATTCTGGGAGGAAATAGGAGGAGGAATGAGGAATGAGAGGAACCCAAGGGTTAAAACCGCAGGTTCAACTTGAAGAAGAGGTATCAATTACAACCACTGTATAGTTAACAAGAGACACAAAGTAAGAGACTCTCTTCTTTAAAATGCCTACACATCAGCTTCTTTATTATAGCTTAGTTCTTGGCTCCATGGAACTGACAAAAGGTGTAATATGCACCACATATAGACCATGTTTCTCTTTCTGCCTCCTTGTGAAAATTGACAGCGGTGTCACTTGAATCCCAAAATAACTTTGGGATTTGTATGAATCCTAGAATAGCTTTGGGATCTCATGATGTGCCCAAAGTATGACAGTCTCCATTTAGTTATATTAAGAATTTGGAATTGATTTGCTCTAGAACCCATTTATTTGTCTTTTCAGTAGCCCACAGTATCTGTAGAACTCTTGTACATCATTCGTATTGATATTAAATTGCCATTAAGGGGGAGGGAATGGTAAAGGAGGAACAAATGACCCCTACACTCCTTCCCAACTCCCTAAACTATTAAATAGGAAGCTAGGGATATTGCAGCTGAAAATGCCTTCGGAAACCATTGTCTATCGGTTTCTTAATCCAACAGACTCTTCTTTTATCAATTAAAAAAGAATTAATGTATCTTTTAGCAATTAATGCACTGGCAAAAAGAGAAAACAATATTTTGCAAGGTCATGGAGTGATTTGTCAAGTTCTGCACAGGTCTGTGTCCATATTAACTAAGTACAGAACTTTGGAAGACTAAACAAAATTGTGTAACTACTAAGGTGAGCATGAAGAGAAAACCCCAAAGTTCTAGCAATGACAAGTGGTTCACAAAGAGGGAGGGAAGAGAAGGCTTTTCTGACAGACAAGAATTGGAAGATAGAAGGCAGCCCAATATGAATTGGTAGAAAGAGTACTGGACTGGGTAATTTACTGCACTATGTATTATTAATATTGATTATTCAGACTACCAAAAATCTTTATTTTTCATTAAAACTGATTATATTTACTTGTCGATAATGCACATTTAAATTACAATGTAGACTAATGATAATATATAATTTTACAAGTAAGACATAAAAGGTGTAATCCTCAAGCATTTAAACTAGTCAGCTCTATGTAACATCCATTCCTGTTATGCTTGAATAAAACTATGAGCAAATCTCAATAAAACTTATCTATTTATATAGGTAAAATAGAGAATGACACTCAAGTTTGCATTGGAATCCTCTTACTTCAACTGCCATAATCACCAGTTGCTCAGTAAACAACGGTTCTATAATGCAGTTGTACAACTTTGTGACTAAAGACTGAGCACCCTTTATCCAGAATTCTGAAATCCAAAATACTAAAAATTCCAATTCACAAGGTTGGCTAAGACAGTGACATCTGTGATAGTTCCCAAACTTTGTTTAATGCACAAAATTAGTAATACTATTGTACATAACATTGCCTTCAAGCTATGTGTATAAGATGTAACCTTAAAAACTGTGGCATAGACACTGAGAACTGGGCCTTGAGTGCTCTAACTGGAGGTCAGTTGTGACCAGCAGTGTTGCGGAATTTGATGAGGCACAAATGGAGGACGAAAGGGAGAAATATGCTAAGAGGAAGGCATGTAAATGCTAAAGCTGACAGGGATGTGCATTCCACCTGGAAACTGATGCCCACACTCTGGAAGAACATGCGGACCAAGAATAGGGCTCCACAGTCACCTACATATCCACTGCCAAGACACTACACTTGGAAGGCCATCATACTCGGACAATGAGGGATCACCTAAGTAAGTAAGTAAGTAAGTAATAAGGTGTATATGAAATGTAAATGAATTTTGTGCTTAGACTTGGGTTCTGTCTCCAAAATACAGGTACTCCAAAATCTGGGGGGAAACTGAAATTCAAAACCACTTTTAGTCCCATGCATTTCGAATAAGGGATAGTCTGCTCTTATAAGAATATGCAAAGTCTATTTTACTAACATGCATTTATAGAAAGTTGATTTATTCTGCTACTACTGTCATCTTCAGACTGAAAATATAAGAGCAGACTTGACAAGGTCACTTTTAAGCTTTTAAAACTTTTAAATCAGTGGGAGCATTTGACAATTTATTTTAATTATGCATGCAATTAATTAAAAGGCATCTCATGAAAGAAAACTTGCATCTTTTGTCATACTTCAAATGCCAGATTCTTTTGAAAGGTAACTTACTTCCCAGAGGTGCTGTGTATTTCTGGTTCCTCCTGTTTGCACCTTTTCTGGCAGAAGGAGGATTCCCTGGAAAGGTCCAATCCAGGTGCCCTGCTGAATCCTCTGAGCCGCACAGATGCCATAGGCCAACCCTGGCACTGTGCTGGTGCATAGGCACACTTCTCGTGGCAGATCCCGAAGCCACTCAGGGATTTCTGGTGGAGGTGCTGCTGCTGCAGCACTACTGGTGCCAACCAGGCGCCGCAAAGAGTGCAGAGGACCATGCATGGGACACTCCCCATTACGATTATCCGCACACATATCACATCCTGTAGAGAAAAGATTAATATGTTAAAAGTCAGCTGATCACAGCTAAATGACCATCATCTTAACCCAACATGAAATTACTGTATTGCTTCCATTCTAAGACCCACTTTGTTCCCCTTATAAGGTAAAAATAAAATTTTCCCCTGACATTAAGTATAGTCATGTCCGACTCTGAGGGTTGGTGCTCATCTCAATTTCTAAATCAAAGAGCCATCGTTGTCCATCGACACCTCCAAGGTCATGTGGCCAGCATGACTGCACTGAGCACCATTATCTTCCCGCCAAGGCGGTACCTATCGATCTACTCACATTTGCATGTTTTCAAACTGCTAGGTTGGCAGAAGCTAGACCTAACAGCAGGAGCTCACCCTGCTACCCAGAGAGAGCGAGCATTATATATAGGTTTTTTTCTGTTGATGGTACTGAAATTAGTGTGTGTCTTATAATCAATGGCATATTACAATTGAAGATATATGGTATATGACTGCATCCATCACTTTTTAAATACTGACATCAAAACAGACTAATATACTTGCTGGTCGATTTTTTAAATACCTATCCATAGTTTTTTTTTTCCCATGCCAGGAGCGACTTGAGAAACTGCAAGTCGCTTCTGGTGTGAGAGAATCTGCAAGGACATTGCCTGGAAACACCCTGATGTTTTCATGTTTTGCCACTGTGGAACGCCCTGCCTAGGGATATAAGATCGGCCCCCTCCCTCCTGACTTTTCAAAGGAAGGCGAAAACCTGGCTTTTCGAGCAGGCTTTTCCAAGTACAGCATAGCCTATACGAATCCATGGAACAACTTGATGATGAAACTGAATAATGACTTGACATGGTGACGCTCACGATAATGTTTTTAAGGCTTGTACGGTTTTTAACATTTTTAAAAAATCTTAATATTGTATACCGTATGTTAAATGTTTTAATGCTATTTTATGTTTGTTTTAAACTGTTATAATTGCTGTGGCATTGAATTGTTGCCAATTGTGAGCCGCCCTGAGTTGCCCTTGGGCTTAGAAAGGTGGTATATAAATGTTGTAAATAAATAAATAGTATCCTTGTGGGAGGCTTCTCTCATGTCCTCACATGGGGAGCTGGAGCTGACAGAGGGAGCTCATCTGTGCTCTCCCCAGATTCGAACCTCCAACTTGTCAGTCTTCATTCCTGCCAACACAAGGGTTTAACCCATTGTGTCACTGGGGGCTCCTACCTATCCATAGTGATATTACACCTTGTGAGAAGTAAATTGTCCTCAGAGTACAAAGACGTTTCCTTAGTAAACATGTTTGGGACTAATGAATGAATCTTATCAGAGAGTACACAGAAGATTGTGGCTCTCTGAGATGTGGCTAGCCATAGTTCTATTTATTTACTCCAATTTCCATAGTTCAGTAAAACTACATTTTTCTCAATTGTTATTTCAGTTACAATGCGTATTACAATACATAATGGATTTTTATTTAAACAAGAAAATGTATACAGGGTATAACAAATGTATCACATTTTAAATTAGGGAAAACATTAGTGAAACTTTAAACGGAAAAAGAGAACTTCAGAAGTTTCATTTTATCCCATTTCATGTTAATGGTTTCCACATTCATTACATGCTGTAAGTTCCGGACTTCCAAGAAAACACAGTTAATTCTCAGGAAAATATTTTGCAAATAAAAAATGAACCTCTTTGAATTAATCACAGTCTCTGGCACATTTTGCATATTATAACACAGCTAACGGTTTCAAACAACTTCAAACCAGAAATACATTCAAAAAGTAGTACTTGTTCTTCATTATTTACACAGCAATTCCCTTTGCCCCTGTAATTTTGCATTATATACATTAAGCAGCTAAAAATAAAACAAAAATATTAACCAGTTGGTTTGAGATTTGATGGTCTAAACCACAAATCTGGAATAAGTAAACAGCCTGGAACCACAGGGTATAAACCCAGCAGAACATAGACAGACTTCCTTCCTTCGATATTAATTAAACTTCAGCATAGTTTAATATTTCAAAGTGACACAAAAAGGTTCTATGTGTTGGACAGGATTACAATTCTCATAACTAAAATGTGGCCTTTACTTCCACCATTCAACAATTATGCACACATGGCATACAGCTACCATTTGTTTATGGTACATTTCTTTTTAAGTGTTAATATATACTACATGCCCCTTTTTACAGTTATCTCCATGCACATACTGTATGTTGTCTAATTGGGTGAGATATATTACATTATAACACTAATTTAAATACTTTTTCATACTGTACTTGTTTACAGAAATACAATGCTAAGTGCTAAAAGAGAATGACAATTATCACCTTGCTCCTAAATAACCCATTTGTTGGGTAACAGGGAAGTTTGCTGTGTGAAATTGCATTATAATTTCTTTTAACAGCAAGTATTCATGGCATGACAACAAATTCCTATTTTAAAGTATTACTACTTTCAAAATCAGTTTGATGTGGAAAACTAAACATTGTATTTGAGAAACGTGAGT